GCGCCGCGCGCAGTACGACGAGCGAGCCACAAAACCGGGGACAATACATTTCTGTAAGTTATACGATTATTATATTTATTAATTATTATCTTATTTTTTTGTATTTTCTAACTGGTTTTAATACAATTCACCAAAAAAACACTCTATATGAAAAATAGTAAACAGTATCAAAACAGTGTTCTAACAAAATCATGACAAAAACACATTACACAACATATATATGATAAATTAAACTGTATTTAACAAGTATGTTTAACGTTTTCTAATTGAATTTAATATATTAATTTTCAAACTTGAAAGTCCTACTGTATACTATAATTACAGCGTTTTAATAGTTAATATGTGATTACCTTGCAACTGACAATGTTTGTTCTATTGATCATAGACTGAAAGAAGTAGATTTGATCGAGTCCTCTACTAAAGGAAGTCTGTTCCAGTGGAATAACTATTGCACTTCAACAGCAACTAAACTATGGCAGAGGAGAGAGGTTTCCTATGTGCCTGTGGACTACTGCATCAGCAGCATGACTGTTGTTATGGATGAGTGTTTATCTGAGTTTGGACTAGACTGAAGATCTCAGAAAGCAGGTGGAGCGGCTGACACTGGGTTGTCTGTCCATCAGAGATTTAGTTTGGGATGATCTGCAGCATCTGACAATGATGTACAGTTTTACTGTAGGCAAGATCTAAAACCTGGGGCCGGATTCACGAAACATTCTTCAGAAAAATCAATCTTCTTAACTGCCATTTTCTTCTTATTTTATTTGTATCCCCAAAATTTCCTCTTATCTTTTTTCTCAAGATTGTTCTTAAGACAAAACTTGAGAAGAGTTCAAATTCTTGAAAAGAATCTTCTTAAAAATCATCGTAAATAACTTCAAGTTAGGATAACCTCAGACTTGTCTTAAAGGGGTCATATGATGCTGCTAAAAAGAACATTATTTTGTGTATTTGGTGTAATGAAATGTGTTTATGCGGTTTAAGGTTAAAAAAACACATTATTTTCCTCATACTGTACATTATTGTTTCTCCTCTATGCCCTGCCTTTCTGAAACACGTTGATTTTTACAAAGCTCATCGTTCTGAAAAGCGAG